TTTACTGGGAAGACCAAAATACAATGTTAGTTGATTAAGTGTTTCTATTACAGGTTTGGTTTTCGTTGATTTAACAGCGACAGTTACAACATATCTAGTTAGTGCATCCACGATCACTATGATATATTCATTACCACTGCAGCTTCTAATAAAAGGTCCTAGATGGTCCATATGTATTACCTCGAACGGCACCCTCGGTATCTCCATACCATATAGTTGACATTCTTTCTTTGCTGTACTTCGATTATAACAACATTCAATGCATGATTTGATGTACCCCTTAACAAAATTTCGACATCGAGGAAACCAAAAATGTTGTTTAATACGTTTTATTGTGCCATCCATACCTGGATGACCAGCATCATCATGACAAAGTTTCACAATTCTCCATCGTATTCCTTTTGGTATGACCAGTAACTCTTTCCCATCATGATGTCTTCTATAGAGCCGATTTCCCTTTAAAATGAATTCCTTCTCATGCTGCTCTCGCTGTGTTGAATCGACACGACCTTTTAAAATATCAATGATCTGTTGTAAATTTGCATCTTGCTGTTGCATTGTCAAAATCCAATCCTCATTCGAAATGTCAATCATCATTAAATTTGCAGATACATCATCAACTTCGCATGGCGGTTCAACAGGAGCTCGACTCATTGCGTCAACGTGAGCCATTAAATTACCTGGGCGATGACTTGACGTATGATCATATTCGAGCAATTTTAACAGCCATCTTGCGACTCGTGGAATCATTGGTGTTACTGTTTTAATACTGGAAATAGCTGAACAATCCGTAAAGATTTTAAAATGTTTGCCCAAAAGATACATTCGAAAACGTTGACATGCTTCAACTACCGCTAAAACTTCTAATTCATATCCATGATATTTACTTTCAACATCTGTACATAATCGACTGAAATATGCTATGGGCTTTGATATTCCGTTATCTTCACGTTGCATTAATATCGCTGCAAGTCCAATACTGCTTGCGTCAGTATAAATTTCTTGTTCTTTATTAATGTCATATATTCCCAAAAGCGGCTCATTAGCTAACAATTCAATTAGTTTGAGGAAAGCATTTTCACATTCTAATGACCATTTAAAAGCAATATTCTTTCTCGTTAACTGTGTTAACGGATGAGCAATTTGTGCATAATTCTGAACAAATTTCCTGAAGTAACCTGTAAGTCCCAAGAAACGTCTGACTTCTGTTACATTTGTTGGTATAGGAAATTGTTTTATCGCAATGGTTTTAGTTATACCAGGTTTTATACCATTCTCGTCGACTTCATGACCTAAAAACGATACACTGCCTTTCATAAAATAACATTTCGATAGGTGTAAGGTCAATCCTTCATTACGAATAATTTTCAAAAATTCTTCTAAATTCTCAAGCCCTTCTTGTGCTGTTTCAGATGCCACAATGACTTCATCAACATAACTAACCACCTTACCTCTCAGCGGTTCCATAAGTTTCATCATCATCTTTTGAAATACGCACGGAGCATTTTTAAGGCCAAATGGCATTCGGTTAAACTCATAGTGACCATTATGAGTGACGAACGCTGTCAGCTTTTTCGATGATTCAGCAATTTCAATCTGATAATAACCTGACATCATATCTAAAGTTGTGAAAAATCTTTTTCCCGCAAGAGTTGATAGAACACCATCTACTGTAGGCATTGACCATGGCTGTTTTTCCGTTACAGCATTTAATGCCCTGTAGTCGATGCATAAACGATCTTCACCATTCGATTTCGGTACAAGAACAATAGGAGACGAATATTCTGAAGTTGATGTTCGAATAATATTTAACTCTAATAATTCGTCAACAATTCGTTCCACGACACGTTGTTTAGGAATTGGTATGTTGTAAGGTTTTTTTGTTATCGGCGTTGGAGATGTAACCGCAATCTCCATTTTCGTTGTTTTCGCCTTACCAAGTTCATTTAGATTTCATAAAACAATCATAATAATTATTTAACAAATTACGCAACTCATTTTGTTCGTTTACCGATAAATTCTCGTTGCACTTAAAATTTTCGGGTGTTATCGCAAACACTTGACAGTTTCCATTTTCAAACACAACGCGACATTTGGACAATAAGTCAATACCGATAATAACGTCATATGCCATGGTATCATCTTCGACCACTAGCATTTGCACTTGTACTTTTGTTCATCAATAGTTATTGACAACTTATCTGTCTTTTCGGAACACACATATTCACCGCCGGCAAAACCGTTCAAAGTTTTCACACATTTTATTAGTTTGTATTTCAATACAATGGCTATATTACGCTTAATTATTGACACACCACTGCCTGAATCGATCAAAGCGTTACATAAGATATTGTTTATACATATTTGTTTAATTATAATACCAGGTTTTTCAATCGCATTTACTGGATTTCGTTTATTACACGTTTTTGTGTCATGGTTTCCTGAACACATTGAACAACGCGGCTTTCGTTGCGGTTTTGGACAATTTTTCGAAATGTGCCCATACTCCCGACAATTATAACAAACCGGTCCCGTTTTTACCACACGAGTTACACTGGAGTCACTGCTATTTTTATTCGGCATATATTGATTATCATTGTAACGTACTGCTGGTCTTCGTACGCTTACATTACTGTTCTGTAACGACCGCACAAAATCTGAGCAATTTTTAAATTGCATAGCAGATAATGTCTTCCGCAACCCGTCGTCATACAACCCGATGGTTACATATCTTATGACCACTTGGTCTTCGAGTTGTCCTCGGCGTCCAATAGCTAACATTCGATAGTAGTACTCAATAACGCTTTCATTTTTTCTCTGCTGATTGCTCATTAACTGCATATGAATATCAGCAGCATTTAAAACACACGGAAAATCATTTAAGAATGCGACCACAAATTCACCCCAGCTACGAAATACTGGTTGCGAATCGATCCACAATTTTGCGGCACCTCTCAATTTACTTCTTATAGCAAATAGAACAATATGGTCATTCCACTGGTATGCATTCTTTAATTGCTCAACACTTTGAACAAACTGCACTGATGTGACGTCATCACTGTTGTTGTCGAATGACGGCAAAGCATCTATAATTTCTCTTATATTACAATAGTTACTCGCACTCTGCATTGCCATAGCAACATTCGAATTCATATTTGTTTCATACTGCATACGAGTTTGGATTGGCAACCCTATTGAATGATATCTAATAAGTGCGCGCGCTGAAAAGTTTAATGAAAAATTTAAGTTGTATCTTGAGAAACTAATGACAATTGGTTGATTACTGAAAATAAACGTTTGTGTAATTACTACGCGTTGGAATGTTGTGCAAAAATTTGATAATAATATAATTTTATTTATTGAGACTTCAGTGGACAAACTAACGTTGTATTTAACAACAGTAAAAAAACCAAATATACACAAAAGTGCTTACGATCAGTGGAACTTAAAATTATATTCAGCGTTAAGCTCGATACAAAATTATAGAAAATATACTAAGTATAAAGCTCTGAGTGGTTCTTGTCTGTGCTGTCGGGTTTGTGTATCAAACCGAATTTTATGCTTTCAAAGAAAACACAAGCAGAATTTAAAAAATTAAAAAATTGACTTTTCAGTTATATCATAATATTAAATAAAACATATATATATAAAATGCCAGTTGAAAGATCGCCACCAGCAGACGCAAAAAACGCCACGAGTAAATCGGACCTGTGCACACCGAATAGGCAAGCACAGAGGCAAGAAAAACGTATGCGATCTGAGCTTTCGCCAGACTTATCGCTCGGTGATGTTATGCTGGCTATTCAGCAAATGACGGATAAATTCGAATCGAATATTGCAGGTTTGAGTAACAACTTTGATTCCCAAATAGCTACGCTAGCATCAAAGAGTGACATAGGAGAACTTAAAGAACAGATAGGCAACGTGTCTGTGAAAATGGAAAAATTGGAGAACGAGAACCAAAGGCTAAAACTAGAATTAGAACAATTAAGAAATGATAGAGATGAGGACAGGAGGGAGATCGAAAGACTTGTCGAACAAAGTAAAAGTCGTAATGTACTATTGAAAGGTTTACTAAAAGATAAAGCAAAAAAAAGTGATGTGGAGGCAATTTTCCGAGATAAAATGGATATGACAAGTATTAAAGTTCGAGACACAAAAGTAATATTTGAAAAGAAAAATAAAGTGAGTGTAATTGCAGAATTGGAAACATCAGAAATGGCAAAAGATGTCTTAAAGAATGGTAAAAAACTGCATGGCACTCCGATTTATATTGAAAAGGACTTGAGCGTGACTAAACAGGAAAATAAATCAGCTTTATTACAGCTGAAAAGAGATCTGGAAGCCATCAGAAAGACTCACAAAATTTATGTTAAAAATGACAGTATAAATATATCAGGAAAATGGATGCACTTTGATAAAAACAAGAAACTAAAGTGCAAAGATGGTGACGCTGTTGAGCAATTAAAGCAATTGTATGGTGAGATTGAAGTGGAAGAAGTGCTCGAGAAAAACAAGCTTTTTAAAAAAATAAATCATCCAAAAAACTGTTAGTAAAAAAGGAAATCGTTAAAGATGCCAAACAAAAAATTGAAAAAAATGCAAATGCCGCCAGGTCAGACACTAAATTAGCATATAAATTTAAAATATTATCGTATAATGTAGCTGGTTTAGCAAATAAGTATAAGTTTATAGAATTTATGAAGTATGTTAAAAAATTCGATATATTTGTATTATTTGAAACATTTTTAGTAAGTAAGACAGATTGTATTGAAAACACATTTATAGAATACAATCTTCATTGGGTGCCTGCAACAAGAACAACAAATAGAGGTCGAGCCAGTGGAGGAAAATTGTATGGTGTACGAAAGCAATTGCAATTTTGCGGTACTGTGGTGTTCAAGCACATTATGAACTCAACAATAATCGAGATAACCACTACTAATCAAAAGTTATGTTTAATCCCAGTTTACCTAAATTGCAATAACTGGCTAAATGATCTCAATAACTTATGTGAAATATTAGTGGAAGCTCAGAACGAAAATGTCATGATAATAGGTGACTTTAAT